AGAAATTATACGATTTAAGGAGCATAAACCTTCTTCAACCACAATTTAACTTTTGAAATTTCTACTGCGTGACATTTGTAGCTCTCATACTCCAGAGCCTGTATAGACCTCCTACTACAAACCCGGCAGTCAAATTCTTTTCTAACAGTAAACAATCCAGTGGTTAACCCCTCCTCTTGAGGGTCAAAAGGTTATCCGACACTTACTCTTCGCATGTCAGCGAAAAGTACATTTTATAGTCCTTTCAATAAAGTCATAATTGGTAGGTCCCCGCTGAAACAAAAAAGTTTTCCAATCGCTCCGTCAGACCATGTCCTCAGAAAATGTCTAAAATCTGCCCTGTGCCCAATTGACCTTTGACCTGTGACCTCCAATTTTGGCACAGTGATGGCTTTTCCTACCATGATGCTATACACCGACTATCACGAGCCTAGGTCGAGCCGTTTAGATTTGTGCCGCAATTCTGCATTTCCTCCCTATACCTTAAGTTAAGGAAGGAATGTTCCCTTCTTTTACACCGCTTGACCTTTGACCCCCAGCTTCAACATCCCACCTCATTTTCGGATTACCCCCCCACGTCCCGACTTTCCAATCCGTACGTCAAGCCGTTTAGATTTGTGCCCAACTGTTGACGGACGCAGGGACAGACACACGAACGCACGCTCATGCGATTCTACAAGCTGCATCGGACTATGTCAGATGAGCTAAAAATAAGCACCACTCATTGACTGTGACAAGGGATGTAGCTTACCAAACTTTTATATGTTGTAAAGTGGATAGGATTTGGGATTAGGAATTAGAGATAAGGTTAAATTTAGTAGTATGGTTAGTAGGGTCATCACCTAATAATAATAATAATAATAATATTAAATAAAAAAATAAAATATAATGTAGGGGGGCCTACAATTCGTTCGTAAACCGTCGTTAGAGTTTAGTAGGATGGTTAGTAGCGTCATCACCAGCAATCACCCACCAAGCACGACACCTACCTCGGCCGTTGCGACGTCGGACGGTGGCGCCCCCTTTGAGCAATAGCGTCCCTTGCGCTTGAAGCTTCGGCGGAGTGGCACGCAGCGTTGCAGTGCCTTCGTCGCCGGCGTTCCATCGCTCGTCTCCGCGATCGGGTACGCGAACGACACCCTCCTCACCTGCGCGCATGCGACAAACAATAGAACTGTAGCAGGCGTGGCGCGACCTGGTGGCTTTGCGACAATGCGATGTGACGATCACTGAGCGAAGCCTGTTGATTTTTGCCGGTAAAATGTTGGCGCCGGAATATTTATTCCATGTGGTATTATGTGCTCCACCTTCACTTTACGTGTTAACACAACAACGCTAGCTACAGAGTGCGTTAGAAGTCTGATGCCACCATTACTATACCACCATACCACATTAATAATAATGATGAGGCCAAAACAAAATATGTGTGGTTACCGTTTTCCGACCGACCCTATTTATTCCCAGCGACCCTAAACATTTTATCGTAAATTTTCTTTAAAGTAAAAAAAAATATTACAAAAAAAAAAAAAAAAATTGGACAGTTCCTGCTTCAAAAGGCACAACGCACATCCTTTGGACATAGTTCGTAAATAAAATGTTTCAATAAAATAAAATGTTTTCCCTACCTACCTACCCTATTTTTTTTCCGGCATGAACCGGTAACCACACCTATATTTTGTTTTGGCCTGATGATAATAATAATATGTTCCTCCATCCTTTCCAAAGTCGCCACCGGCTAATGCCGTGATCCACTTTGGAAATAGTAATAATAACAATAATAATCTGTTGTATCATTATTATTAACATCATTATTATTAATCATTAGCAATATAAACAATGCTCACTTTATGCGGCGGTGAGGGAGACTGTGGCGCCACGGTCGTCTTCTCCCGCTGCTGCTGCTGCTGCTGCTGCTGCTGCAGCTTTCGCTTCAGGATTCCGGCACTAGGTGACGCCGCCGGGGAGAACACGCGGCTCAGGCTGATTGGATGGAAAGCGGCAGCGGATGCCGGCGCCGCGCCATCCGACCGTGACGCCGGAGACTTCAGTATCCCCCGCTTCTCCTCTGCCTCCTCCTTCATCGCCGCGGCAACGGGCTTCATCGTCGTCGTCGTCGTCGCCGTCGTCGCAACAGGCTTCGCCGTCGCCGTGGCAACGGAGGGTTTGTTCTCCTTCGCGGGGGCGTGGCTCTGGCGAGAGCGTGCCAGCATCTGCATCGAGCGGCTTGCGTACGCACTGAAGCTCGGCGAGAGGCAGCGGGAGAGCGTGCCTCCGCGGCGGACGGCGGCGCGAGGCCGCGCGATCGGCGAAGACTGCAGGGTCACGACTGATGACTCGCGTAGAGCCACGAGGGAGGAGGGCGGCGGCGGGGGGAGGGGGGATCCGCTGTCGTCGCAGGGGAGGGAGGGCGGCGGGCGGGGGAGGGAGGATCCGGCTGTCGGTCGGTGGGGGGAGGGAGGGAGGGGCGGGCGGGCGGGGGGGAGGGGGGAGTCCGACCGGT